CTGCCTGTCGGATGGCAGGCGGATTTAAAAGACCAAAGAACATGAAGCAAGTTCATCGTTCACCCGCCAATGGCTGCCAGTGCCCAGATGAGCGGTCTTTAGATGGCCAGCAGTTTGGACATGTTCTTGGCTAGTTTCTCCGAAGACATAAGCATAGAGGGAGAACAACGAACTGACCTACCTTGTCGAAGCGGCTTGCCTTACCAGGTCTTGAATTTACTCCTTTGAAGTAAGTGTGCAGACCTGCGCCACTTAATTGGCCACTTCTTTCAATAAATGTGAAGTCAAGAACTTTGGCCAAACTTGTTTGTGTTCAATCCACGTGAAGACATGTCGTTTTGGCCAAACCTGGTGTTTTTTATTGTCGGATAGGCTGATGCCGGGTCAGTCTCCACCAGCATTGGATCGAAATCACAAGGTCAGTACACAGTCACCTGGAAGTCATGTCAATTGTTGTGAAGATTTCCATGAGTTCCAAGGACGGCCACCGAACATTCCCCAGCCCCCCCAGCTGGTCTCTTCTTGCACACCTCGGTCATTTGGGTGTTTGCAGCCATCATCTGACTCAGTCGCAAGTCCGTTGGAACACCATGCTTTTTTTGAACTGCTTCGCGGCGCATCTGGGCGCGAACTGAGGCCTTCTGGCGCATCTGGGCGGCATTCCGTGGGTGATTGGTCTGCCGCAACATCGCGGATCGATCCAAACGGTTGCTTTCCTCACGGTGGCCCTTCCACAGATGTGGGGTACCAGAGGCCAGTGAAATCAAAAGGAAATCACAGTCCCTGAAATCATCAATGGAAGTACGTTCTCACCTCTTTGGTGTTCTGATTTGGTCCGAACCATCCGTGCATGAGGGGTCGTTGGTCATCCACGTAATCATGAGTATTGAGGTTTGGGAGTGTAGGGATTTGGACCGTGACCTGAGGTTTGGGAGAGATGGATAGGTTTGGGAGACATGTGCATATCATCCCCAAGTCAGTGGGACAGGGAGAAACCCCCATGAAAACTAGACCTTGCAGTGCAGTCTTCCAAACTCCCAACTCTTCGCATGATGACACAGACCCCAAGTCTTCGTTTTTGACCCCCCTTCCCACTCTTCGCTGTGTGAGTCCCAAAGGACCCAGCTGGCGGCCTCCAAGAAACGCACGCTGTCACTGAATGCCCTGCTCGTGCGGGGCTGACCAAAATGGAACAAGATCAACTACCGATGTGTGCTTCATTCCTTGTCCAAAGCGAGACCCAACTTCCTGGTGCGGTTCAAGTCCTCGGCCACCTTTTGCTTGGATCGACAAGCAATGCAAACATACCGCCACTGGCGCACTGGGCATTCGACGCAGGAACCAGTGCTTTGGTGGCAGACGCTGGGCTTGGTGTCCGGACCAGTGAGGAACTGGTAGGACCTTCCTGGTTCAGTTCCGCCATGTGCGACCGCATGCAACCGCTGAACATTCAGTTTTGCAGTGCCCTGAGGATCCGATATTGCAAAACATCAATATCGCAAAAAGTTTTCAATAATATTGAACTTGTTAATCGCAGGATTGTTTTTTTTTTCAATATTGAAGACTGAAGATTTAAAAAAACACCGACCAATATCATGATCAATATCAAGACCAATATCAATGTCAAAAGGAACTCCACAGGATCTCCACAGGATTCTAAACTCCACAGGAAATCCACAGGAACTCCACAGGATCTCCACGATCAATATTGACCAATATCATGACCAATATCATGATCAATATCATGATCAATATTTGAAACCAATATTGACCAATATCGACCAATATCATGACCAATATTATATTGATCATGATATTGATTTTTTGGCTTCCAAGTTGACCGTTTTCAATATTATTGAAAAAATTGTGGGACCAATCGTAAGATTGTTTTTTTTCAATATCGGATCCTCAGGGTGGTTTCAGAGGTGAGAAATGGCACTGGCACCCCGTTCGATGTCCGTCCGACAGATGGGGGTCCAAAAAAGAAGAAACACCTCTTACTTGGGGTTTGTGCCATCTACTCCTCTCAATCCACTACAAGTATATATCCAGGTCCTTCCTCCACTGCACCGAAAAGCCTCCAACAGAAAGCCGTTTTTTCAGGTGCCCCAGAAAGCTGGTCTTGAGAAGGCCGCACCAGCTGCACCGCGGCAGTGCATTGCATTAGCAGAGGACGGATGCGCTCCGCAAGCAATGCGGATGAACGGTCAACACTCTCACTGACGTTTGGAATTCGCTTGGAACGGAGCCCACAGGCTCCCATCTACGTGGCCTCGATCCAACTGGTCAGCTACATCCGATACGTTGATATGTCCAGTGAGTTAGATGGCTTCATCATCAGCTGGCAAGTCTTGACATGTCAGCTGGCACCAGTCGTTTGTATCGGTTTGCGATAGTTTATACGCAGTTTGTGTGTGTGTGTTTAATTTTGTCGGGTAGCGTTGGAAGAACTTGTGCAGTCAATATCTTCCATTCTCCATTGGTCCACCACATTCCAACTTGCCATGCCATACCATATATAGGCATTCCATCATATGTGTGCCCTACATTTTCATTGTAATATATGCATCTATTTTCCTGATCAGGTGGCATCATGCGGCTGCCTGGTTCAAAAACAGAACAATTACATCAGCGACAGATAGCAAAAGGATGCAAAAGGTATTTGCCGCTGCAGCGCCCAGCGCATCTCCACAGATCTCCACGGTGGCACAGCCCTACGCCCCCCAGACTTCCGTTGAATTCAATCAGTCCCAGACCATGCATCTAATACCTAACCCCGCAAACCACCCCTGGCCCGTCACATGGATGGTGTGGGAGATTTGCGAGAATCCTCTTCCAAATCCTCGGTTGTGAGTCGCCAGTCGTTCCCTCCCAGTAAGAGAAACCTTCGCCACCTCCTCCATAGTTGGCCTTTTACGGCCTTGGTTGATTGATTAAAAGAGGGGATACCCTATGATACCCTCAAGTGTACAACCAATAGGTATATGGATGGCACCAACCCCTCTATAGTAGGTATATATTATATGGCACCGACCCCTCTATTATTCCCAAGTACGGACATCATTGACCTCCTCGCGAGTCACTCTGAGTTTGGCACCTTCCCGGAAATAGCAGCCGAGGTCCAGGGCATGCCTAGCCAGGCGCATCACCGTCTGAGAAGAACCGCACTGATTCGTCTTTTGCCGCCCGACCTCCCCCCCCGACCTCCGCGTTTGTTGAGGATGATGTGTATGGTTCCCTATGAGTGAATCCCCCTCCGGCCCAGACACGGTCTCTCTCACGACTATTTTGGACAGAGCCTTTCCCTTTATGTTGGGTCAGCTCTGTTCCAGACCTCTTTCCCAGGTCTTGGGCAGGGCCTGTCGAATTTTCTTGGGTCCGTTCCGGGCTCTTTTCGTCGCCGCACCCTCAGCCGGGCACATCCTGGCACAATCTGTCAGGGGCCTCAGCCATTGCCGGTGCAAAATCTTCAGGTGCGTGGGGGAGGGTGTGGGGTGAGCTGGCGCG